AGCATATGCTCTGTAACCAGCCCTGAATTTGACTAGTTTAAAATAGGCAGTCAGCCTTATAAGGAATTTTTTCAATAAATTTGCCAGAAGTTTGATCATATTAGTAGCATATTAGTATGGCTATTACCACTGAGCTTATACACTGACCTTATAAAAAAGCCATTCAGAGCACAAACATACACAATCTCACACACACTCACACAGACACACACACAAACATAGACACATGCAGACACACTCACAAATACACGCACTCACACACTCATTCACACATGCACACACATGCATTCACACACACTCTCACACACACAAACACACACACACACTCACAGAGCAGTGTTATTGTCTCAGAAAGCACTAAATAAGACACCCACCTGTCGGGACTCCGGCTTGCCGTACCTCAGCTCTGTCACAAAATGCTCACAGTTGTATCGGGTGACATGGTACTGCAGCTCCTGACCCACCAGACTCCGAGCATCACTCAGTATGTCGCTGACACTCCTGGGCTCATATTTATCATCCAGAAGGTTGTTGATCTTGAACTTACTGGTCCCCACCACATCCAACAGACTGTCCATCTTCACTATGGCCTTGTCATGCAAAGCAGACATCATGCTGTAGGAGCCACCACACGCTTCCTCACCTGGGAGAGAGAGAGAAGAATGACGAAAAGCCACGAAAACAAAATTACACAGATAACAACACATCTACAATGAAGAATGAGTAAATAGAAGTATGTAACAGCATGCAGGAGAATGGTCTGTGCTCTCACTTGGTGGGGCGAGGTGGATGACGTAGCCATCTCCAATGTATATGGCCCAGTGCTTGTATCCCACACGAAAAATCTCAATTAGGTCACCGGGTTGTGGCTTAACATCAACCTGCAAAAGGGATGAGTTATTCATGCAAACAAGCACAGGAAGCACTAGGGGTGTGAATTTTTGGCTCCAAGGCAATTCAGTTCAATTATGATTATTTAGGGGACAATGCAATGCATGGGAACTCTCTCATTTCTACCAGGAAATCATGCGATTAATTGATTATGGGTGTGTTTCCTGATGATGAACAATGTCAATGAATAACAAACAAGATAGCAAATGACATTGGTAATGAACAAGTGAGATTTGCCAGTGTTTCCCAAAGCCCTTCGTTATGCGACATTTGATGAACAAACTTCAAGTAGTTCTGTTTTGGCTCCTCCCAGCGTCCACGTGAGAAAAGCACAGACTGTCGTTAACAAGAACATTGATCCCAGGTATTTAATATTCTGCTGAATTGGTGCCATTTCTGTACCCAGCACATTATACAGATAAATATGCATGAAAAGCAGCTTTATAAT